AGTCCAAGGCATGATGTAACATTTTATAACACTTTCTTGTGAATGTTAACTGAATTCATGGTGTAGACGTTGTTGTACTCAAGAAATAAAACTTTTAATTCCAATCCCATTATAATCTAAATCTAATTAAAGCTCTTAATAAAGCAGTTGGAAGAATCCCAGAAATGTAACCAAAAACATTCAATTCCTTTTCAATTTTCAAAGATTGCATTAAAATCAATTATAAGGTAGAAAAAATATATATATTTATTACTGAATTATAACCCTTCTGTGCGTTCTTTAGTTCAAATATTGCTGGTACTTTAATGTGCATGGTTTGCCTTTTCAAAGCATCATTCAGCTACTGCCCATTTTATTATTATCCACACTCTTTATTTCCTGAGAGGTAGAGAGACAGGAAATCATCTCCCACCCACCCTTGTTTATGAGGAAAATGACCCTGAGTAGCTGAATGTCTTGGGCATGGCCACATAGCTCATTGTGTAGAGCAAATATTAACAGCCAGACTTCCCGACTTGCAAACCATTATTTCTTTTTGTCCCTTAACCTGGCAGAACAGAAGGAAATTGGTGCCATACGTCTGGGCCTAAAGAACTATTTGTTCAGTAAATCGTGATTAGGTGTATGATTATTTTATATGCCACATATCACCTTAGACATAGGAACTCGCATGCCACACAGCCCCTGCCCTTAAAGCAGCCGGGTGTGGTGGGAAGTGAGCTCATCACCAAGGGTCAGGGCCCCAGGAGAGAAGTGTGATGGGGAGGCAAGGCCAGGGTAGGTGGGGCACCCTCATCCAGCCTGGGGTTAGGAAAGCCCACAGGCAGAGCTGGCGCCTGGGCAGAGTGTTGATGAGCTGGGGTTGCTGGAGCCGCCCTTGTGTGCAGAAGCATACAGGGGAGATAGAGAGTGTTGTACCTTTGAAAAACTCCAGTGTTATGATCCAAGCCATCCAAGTGGCCTGGGTGTGGGCTCTGGGAAAGGAGGCTGGAATAGGACCTGGGAAGGAGGTCTACAGAAGGGCCTGTTTGCACGGGCTGAGAGTTTGTGTGGTAAACAATGGTGCGCTCTTGAGGGACTTTGGGGAGGGGAGTAGTGATCAGTCTCCGCTTTTAAACTATCACCGTGAAGTGGTTTGGAGACCAGAGGGCGGGTTTGGGGATATGAGGTGGGGGAACCATCTCTTGAGGAAGAAAGGTCAGTTATGAGACTGCTGTTTTCCTCATCAACACAAGTTCATCTTGAAGGCCCAAATCAAGGGGGAGCGGTAGAAATGGAAAGGACAAGTGGATTCCAGAAACGTTGAGATAAAATCAACAGGCCTCCATGACTGATCAGAGGTAGGGACAGGTCAAGTCTGGGCTGAAGGAGGAGGCTGAAGAGGTTGAGTTTGAAATGCCCGTGGGATATTCAGTTGGACAAAACCACAGCTGCTGGATATTTGAATCCAAACTCAGGAAAGATCTGGCTGGAGGCATGTATTTGGGGATCCTATGATAACAGGGCCTGGCTGAAGAGAAAGCCTGCGTGCAGCAACTAAGGCCCAACACAGCCAAAAATAAATTAATTAATAATTTAAAAAAAAAGAATGTGGATCAACCATAGAGCTTTTTCAGAGCAAGGACTGTCTGCTCAACAATATTCCAGGCTACCAAGGCCACAGAGGAAGAATAAAATAAGACCACCCACCTCAAGCCGCTTACAAGAAGAGTCAAACTTCACGAATCAACAGCCACCACCAGACTGCACGTAACGGAGTGTTAAGTGGAGAGAAATACAAACAGGCCTCTACGGAGCAGAGCTGCTCTTGGGAGGATAGGACTTACACATGTGAAGGGGTGAGGGGCGGGCCTTCCAGGAAAGGGGCAGAACACGACCCAGGATGCTACGGCCTCTGTGGGCCCACGAGCAGCATGCGGAAGACAGAGGAAGTGAGTGCGGCGGGTGGCGTGGCATTAGCGAAGGGAGTTTAGGTTTGATGTTGCAGAAGGAAGAGGGGAGGTTTCTCATCCGTGGAGGTTTTTTTTTTTGTTTTTTTTTTTTTGGGGTCCCGGGGTTTTTCACTGCGTGGGCTCTCCCCGTTGGGGGGCACAGGCTCCGGACGCGCAGGCTCAGCGGCCATGGCTCACGGGACCAGCCGCTCCGCGGCATGTGGGATCTTCCCGTACCGGGGCACGAACCCGTGTCCCCTGCATCGGCAGGCGGACTCTCAACCACTGCGCCACCAGGGAAACCCCATCCCTGGAGATTTTGCTTGTTCAATCCTTATGTCACCTGAGCTCGGGGGACTCTTGCTATAGACCGGTACCTCCTCTCCTGGCTTAAGTGACACCGCCCTCTGTGGTGCCGCCTCTGCTTTCTTCTTCCATCACCCTGTCAACTGTGGCGTCTGTCCCCAGGGTTCCACCATCGGCCCCCTTTTCTGCCTCTGGTACCTCTCACACAGTCACTTCTGCCATGTCCTTGGCGGATTCTCAACCACTGCGCCACCAGGGAAGCCCGTTAAACATTTGTGAGGGCTGAAATTTGTTGCATACAGATTTGGGTTCTCAGGAGAGGCAAGTCCAAAACCACTTGCTTTCCAGAGCATAATTAAAAAAAAAAATACACACACAGTCTTTGCAATTAGATTTCATTAAATTTAGGCTACATGTTAATTTTGTTCAGCTCATAAGATTTCTCAGGATAGGGCTTTCCTGGTGGCACAGTGGTTAGGAATCCACCTGCCAATGCGGGGGACACAGGTTTGAGCCCTGGTCCGGGAAGATCCCACATGCAGTGGAGCAACTAAGCCCGTGCACCACAACTACTGAGCCTGCGCTCCAGAGCCCACGAGCCACAACTACTGAGCCTGTGTGCCACAACTACTGAAGCCTGCATACCTAGAGCCCGTGCTCCGCAACAAGAGCAGCCACTGCAATGAGAAGCCTATGCACCACAACGAAGAGTAGCCCCCGCTCGCCACAACTAGAGAAAGCCTGCGTGCAGCAACGAAGACCCAACACAGCCAAAAATTAATTAATTAATTAATTATAAAAAAAAGATTTCCCAGAATATGCCTTGGTTTTTACCAACCGGATTGATGACTCATTTGACCTTGAGGTTCAAGTAACTATTGCTTATCTCAGATTTTCAAGTTCCCAGTGAAATTAGTGGGTAATTTAAGATTAGGTGCTCAAGAAATGTAGGCTCTCATTACTAATATCAACATTGATAATTTTTGTATTTCGATATAATACTTCGTACTAAATAAAATACATAAAAAAGCTTTGTATGGATGAAGAGTGCTTTTGTCTTTGCCAGTTCAAGACTATTTGAGACTTGATTTGGAGTGGTTTACAAGATCCCTCATTTAAAGCGCCCTCTTGTGTCATTACAATGATGTGCAACTCTACAATGGATGGCGCCAAGGGACAGAATATAATGTCTAAGTGAAGGGTCGGTCTTCACCAAGATGGTTCCAGCCATTGAAACAGGGGAGGAGCATATGTGACAGAAATGCTGGCTGGTGGGTAAATGTTGTGATAGTAGATTGCAGAAGTCTCTTCTGACTGATTGCATTTTCTCAATAAAATAGGAAGAAGGTTAGGCTGAGTGAGGATGGATGAAGAAGTATAGGAGATTTGAAGAGAGAAAACTACTAGGTTCCACTAGGAAGACATTGGGATAATAGACAATGAATATACAGCTAGATCTTTTCATGTCATTAAATACATTCACAACATATTTCTATTGTTTGCTCACAATTCTGTTTATGGCTTAAATTATGGTTCTATGATTTTTTAAAACCAGTTTCCTATTGTTGAACAAGGAAGTTCTTTCCAATTTCTTACTGTTATAAATAAAATGGAACAGTGTCTCTTGCTATACCGTTCCTTAAAAAAAAAAAAAACTTTTGTACTGATAGAGCCTGTCTGATGATTACATTTTTTTTTATTTGAGCGATTTTTAGTGAGTTTGTGTTGGTAGCTCACTGTGATTTTTTTTTTTTACGTTGGCGGTAGGAGTTTATTAATTAATTAATTAATTTTTGCTGTGTTGGGTCTTCGTTTCCGTGCGAGGGCTTTCTCTAGTTGTGGCAAGCGGGGGCCACTGTTCATCGCGGTGCGCGGGCCTCTCACTATCGCGGCCCCTCTTGTTGCGGAGCACAGGCTCCAGACGCGCAGGCTCAGTAGTTGTGGCACACGGACCTAGTTGCTCCGCGGCATGTGGGATCCTCCCAGACCAGGGTTCGAACCCGTGTCCCCTGCATTGGCAGGCAGATTCTCAACCACTGCACCACCAGGGAAGCCCCACTGTGATTTTTAAAAAATAATTAATTAATTAATTTATTTTTGGCCATGTCGGGTCTTCATTGCTGCGCACAGGCTTTCTCAACTTGCGGCGAGCGGGGGCTACTCTTTCATTGTGGTGTGCAGGCTTCTTATTGCAGTGGCTTCTCTTGTTGCAGAGCATGGGCTCTAGGCACATGGGTTTCAGTAGTTGTGGCATGTGGGCTCAGTAGTTGTGGCTCATGTGCCCTGGACCGCAGGCTTAGTAGTTGTGGCGTATGGGCTTAGTTGCTCTGCAGCATGTGGGATCTTCCCGGACCAGGGCTTGAACCCGTGTCCCCTGCATTGGCAGGCGGATTCTTAGCCACTGCGCCACCAGGGAAGGCCTGAGGGTTACATTTTAATGTCATCTAGCAAACTCGAAAGCTTTAAAGGTACCCTCACTTACCTTCTAGATGTCATTAAAATGGGGTGACTGACATTCCCATTTTACAAGATGTGACTTTGCCTCACACTGTAGTGAGCAGTAGAGACAAAGTCAGAATGTCAGAGCAGTAAGCGATCTTGGTCCAACTCTATTATTCTACATACGAAAAAAAAAAGGAGGCTCAAAGAAGTTGTCTGCAGTCCCGCCTCCCCAGCTGCACTAGCACACCCATAGTTCCCTCGCTGTCTTTGCTCAGCAGCCCCTCACCGCATCTTTGCCCATTTTACTCTTGTTTCCTGTAGGTTGCATCCCCGTGTAGCCATGACGACTGCCATCCTGGAGCGTCTGAGCACCCTGTCCGTGAGTGGACAGCATCTGCGCCGCCTGCCCAAGATTTTGGAGGATGGGCTGCCCAAGATGCCCGGCACCGTCCTGGAGACTGACGTGCCCCAGCTCTTCCGGGAGCCCTACATCCATGCTGGGTACCGCCCCACCGGCCACGAGTGGCGTTACTACTTCTTCAGCCTCTTCCAGAAACACAACGAGGTGGTCAACGTCTGGACCCACTTGCTGGCGGCTCTGGCCGTCCTCTTGCGGTTCTGGGCCTTTGTGGAGGCCGAGGGCCTGCCGTGGACCTCTGCCCACGCCCTGCCCCTGCTCCTCTACGTCCTGTCCTCCATCACTTACCTCACCTTCAGCCTCCTGGCCCACCTGCTGCAGTCCAAGTCCGAGCTCTCCCACTACACCTTCTACTTTGTGGACTATGTGGGCGTGAGCGTTTACCAGTACGGCAGTGCCCTGGTCCACTTCTTCTACACCTCCGACCAGGCCTGGTACGAGCACTTCTGGCTTTTCTTCCTGCCCGCAGCCGCCTTCTGTGGCTGGTTATCTTGCGCCGGCTGCTGCTACGCTAAGTACCGGTACCGCAGGCCTTACCCAGTCATGAGGAAGATCTGTCAGGTGGTGCCGGCGGGGCTGGCCTTCATCCTGGACATCAGCCCCGTGGCACATCGCGTGGTTCTGTGCCACCTGTCTGGCTGCCAGGAGCAGGCGGTCTGGTACCACTCCCTGCAGATTGTCTTCTTCCTGGTCAGTGCCTACTTCTTCTCCTGCCCGGTTCCAGAGAAGTACTTCCCGGGTTCCTGTGACATCGTGGGCCACGGGCATCAGATCTTCCACGCCTTTCTGTCTGTCTGCACACTGTCCCAGCTGGAGGCCATCCTCCTAGACTACAGGGGGCGACAGGAGATCTTCCTGCAACGCCACAGCCCCCTGTCCATCTACATGGCCTGCCTCTCCTTCTTCTTCTTGGTCACCTGCAGTGCAGCCACTGCAGCCTTCTTGAGGCAAAAAATCAAGGCCAGACTGACCAAGAAAGATTCTTGAGGCCGGCAGGTGGGGTGCGGTGTGGAGTTGGCCTGATATGATTTGGGGAAAACCTGAATCAGCAGTAGGAGTTGACTTTTTGTTTTTTAGAGCAGGCTTTTAAATGAGTACGTATTTCCAAGGGTGGCTATGGCTATGGCATTAGGAAGCCAAAGGGTCCAAGAGTTTTGCTGTTATTGTTGTGAATGAAAGTATCCCTTTATCCTCTGGGCTGTAGCCTTACGAGACACAGGAAGGGAAGGGACCTTGGCTAAAATTCATCGGACACTGAATTAAGAACCATCTTCATGCCTGAAAATTTAGTAGAATTCCGACTGTGGCCGCCAGGGGCAAGGCCTGGTGTAAAGGGATAATCCAACTGGACTGGAGAAGTTAGGAGGTGGCTAGACCACACTGTATTGAAATGAGCATTCTTCTATGATGCTGGTCTTTGGTAATTGGGTACATTGACCCAAGGACCCGATTTCATTTGGATTTCAGATCGTCCTGGGTGGAGAAGTCAGAATCTTCAAGAAGATTCTGTAAAACCCTCAGACCTCATGAATTACTCGGTTCGTCTCACTTCCGGTCCCTTCTCTGGCCCACTCTAGCACTGACCCTTTTCTCAGGATGATGTCTGCCTGGCTGTTTTCTCCCAAGTGCTGTTCACTCCCATCTGTACCTTGCATGATGATAGAGAGGACGATGAAGCAGTCATACTTCCAGGAAATGCTTGGATCCATGGGGACATTCAGGAAACTTACTCTCATATAATACTAATGGAAACGGTAGTAGAAAATACAGTGCCAAGAGCCATCAGGAGGTCCAGCCAGCAAGCATGGATACCGTTTGGTGTCATGGGACCCTTCTGGTTTATACCTGTGCGTTGCAGGATTACTTGAGATCTATTAGGGCTGCCTTACATGCCAGAAGATCTGGAGCTTTCTCCAGAGCATCTTCTCCAGATTTTGACCAGCATGTTCAAAAAGCCCCTGGTAGCGTGAATTGGTTCTGAGAGTCCCACTAGGGATCTGATTATTTCAAGAGGAACTCAAGGTCCAGCCTCTTAAATAGATGCGGACCCGCATAACTACCCTAGTTCAGGTCCTCGGGGAGGCAGTTGTACCTCAGCTTAGAGCAGCTTAAATTAATCAAGCCCCAGGACAGGCACATGTGTGCATTCATGGTGGATTGGTCCCTGAAGGCTCCTTTGGGTGAGGATGGTGAACTGGGCACCCTGTAGCCAGAATGTTCTGTTTAGGACATAGCTGCCCAGCAGCTTCTATGGGGTAGGGGGGGCTTGCGGTTGATGTGTTCTGGCCACGCAGCCCCCCTGAGGACTGCCTTCTGCACTGATCCAGTGAAGGGGGCTGCATTGGAACCCTCCCCAGAGGCTGTATTTCCTATCAATATAAGGTCTGTTTACTAAAAAGGGAGGTGGGTTTTCATTCCAGTTTGATGAACCTCCTCTCTTCCTAGATTACTTTGTTGTCTTCATATCTTTGTTTTCTTCCTTTCTCTTGAGAGATGTGTAGAGTTTGTGCCTTATAAATGGAAATGTACGAACTTAATACACTTAATACATGGCCTTGTGGAATTTTCAGTTTGGGGTTATAGGGATAAGAAAAAAAGAATTAATTGCCTTCCAAACCATGGATGAAAAAACTTATGAATATCAGAATTGCTTATCCATCAGAAGACTCTTCCAACCTGTATTTTGGAGGGAAAAATTCAACTGAGCCTTTCCTGTAATCTTTATATCAAGAAAGCATATGTCGGGACTTCCCTGGCAGTCCAGCGGTTAAGACACCCTGCTTCCACTGCAGGGGGTGCGGGTTCAATCCCTGGCTGGGGAACTAAGATCCTGCATGCCATGGGGTGGCCAAAAAAAAAAAAAAAAAAAAAAGCAAGCATATGTCTTGTCAGTTATGTTGTTTTCCTAGATGGATTTCTCCTGGGAATCCTCAAATACCTGAACTTCTGTGCTACCCAAGTGTCTTACACGAGCTTCTGGCATCCAGGCCAAATTCACCGCCAATAAAGTGAGCAACACCAAACCGGTTGAACTGATGAACAAGGGAATGGAAAGTTGTGTCACACAACACTGCAAGTAGAGGGTCAGTTTTTTTTTTTGCGGTACGCGGGCCCCTCACTGTTGTGGCCTCTCCCGTTGCGGAGCACAGGCTCCGGACGCACAGGCTCAGCGGCCATGGCTTACGGGCCCAGCCGCTCCGCGGCATGTGGGATCTTCCCGGACCAGGGCACGAACCCGTGTCCCCTGCATCGGCAGGCGGACTCTCAACCACTGCACCACCAGGGAAGCCCGAGGGTCAGTTTAAATGGAGATGAGAAAGTGTCTGAAATGTCGGTAATTATGGATTCAGAGGCTATCTTCTTTTAAAAATTGGAAGGAAGATGTAAGGCAAGCTCTTGCATGTAACCGTGGTGGCCATGGTGGGCAGAGATCTTTAGGCCAAATGCAGGTATTTTTTAAGGGAGAAAATACAAGGTATAGCAGTGATCTTCCAACGCCATCCGCAGCCCAGTGCCGGTCTGCACACTTATTCGTCTGTGACAAGATACGTACAGAGAGACACTAAACTCTTAGATATGAACATAAAATTCATAACATTTTGATTTTAATTTACCCAAGTATTGGTCCCTCAAGTACTGGAAATTTACAAAAAAAATTTTCACCAGAGATATTTGAGAAGAGTTGAGGGACTACTATCTGGTTAGAAATTCCAGTATCTCATGAGAAATAGAGAAACAGGAGATGCAGCCGTTTTTAAATACTCAGACTCTTGAGGGGTTAAATACTCCTTTTAAAACATTTTCATTCAAACGATTGAATCAGTAAGGAAGAGACCTAGTTTGTTTAAAAGGAATAATAAGTATTTGATAAAGGGGATGGTTCTTCTTATTCCACCAAAGCCAAAAGTTGACATCTATTGGAAATTCTACTGTCATTGCTCTTTTTTACTAAGGCTTTCAACCTATTAAAATGTAAATGCCTCTGGGAAAAAAACTAAACTAAACTATTAGTCATTTACGTCTTGGGAATAAAATGCGTATTGTATGTGGCCCCCTACTCAGGGTAGAGAGAGGGAATAACAGGATGCAGCGAACTGGGGACCTATTTGCCTGTTTGTTTCCCTCTTGCAAGCACTTCCTGACCTATATTTACTAGGGAGCTAATGTTAATACTCTTCAGGTGTTAGGGTTTCATCTCCCACCTTGGCTGAAAGTACCTCACTCAGTAATACTATTCTCAGTCCTCTACTGGAAGCTTGAAATAGTAGGCGCTCAAGCCATGGAATGGAGGTAGTTCTTTCCTGCCTCTGTTGCCCACCTGTTCACCAGTTGTACCCTGATGCTTGAAAACATTAGGTTCTTCAGTTGCCACGCTGTAGTTTCAAATGGGCCCTCCAGATGGTGCTTATGTCTTACTCAGAGAAGGCATGGCCGTTGTCCCCAAGGCCTCCGCCTAATTTTGTTGTTCCTAGGGTTTTGCTTGATTGCTTGGCAAAGAAAAAATAGAACTATTTTCTGTTTATATAAATCTACTTACACAAATGACCATTTAACAGATTTTGTAAATGCATTATTGTACTCTCAACAGCTACCTTGTGTCTTTGACAAGGCCTATCTTAAAGAAAGGTTTTATCTAGACAGATATTGCCAGAAGGAGATCAGGACACTTCATAGCCACCTAGAAGTAGGAAAGTATAAAAGCTTTGAAAAAAATCTCCATACCCCAAATCCCAAAATATTCTCCCCCTCCCCCAAATCCCCACTTGTGAGTAGATCAAATTGGGCCCCTTCCCCAAAAGCTATGGAGTTGATTTCTCTAAGGATTTTCAATCTAATTGAATAAATATTTTAATCTCATGGACAATAGTGTTAAATATTCCAAACTTTTGAATTGATAGACTGTATTTTTTGAAACCTAAAAATTATGAACTATACTATTGTTATACCATAACAGGTACTATGGTTGTGAAATGTGGCACCTGTCAACCAAAGGATTCTGTGGCCTTAACTATTAGATTTAAATAGCTGTGGAAAAGGTGATTCTACTATCACCATAACAGGAAGAAAACAGCATTCTCTGGCTAGAGGTTTCACTGATAGAATTATGGATACCTCTCTCGCCCAAATGCTTTTTATCACCAGTAGGGACCCTGGGCAGTTTGCAAATACTTCTGTTGTCACTGCTAATAGTTTAACCACTTTTCAGTTACTGATTATGAGCATCTCTTGGTGGCAGACTCCATGTTGGCTCTGGAGATACCACAGTGAGGGTAAAAAACTGGGACCCTCCATGCTAACGGAGGACCAATGTCTTCCCACCTTGGGCCATGATGGGGGCCCCACTCCAGCACTTGGTTCCAGTCACAGCCTGAGGGTCAGATGGCCTGCCAAACCCACGGGAGGCTGGGACCTGCTTTGGGCCAGCCTCTTTTCAAAAGGATTGAGGTCTCTCCTTTCCCCTCCAGAGGTTGGAAACACTTCCCACTCCAGCAAGGCTGTCACCTTAGAGTCACCTCAACCTTTCTTGATACTCCTGCTGCCTCCCCAGCCCATCTTCCTGCCCTCTATTTGATTTAATCCAGTCCTGGGGAATCCTTGACACAGCCAGACACAGAGAGAAGCCCTATATTTCCACAGGTTGTATAGACTTCCCATAAAGCCCGTCCTTTAGGGAAAGGGATGTAGGGTTCCAACCTGAGTGCAAGTTCCTGATTTGGTAAGTTGGAAACAGCATGCTACACCCTGGCTGCCTCCTTTGGGGGGGAAAAAAATCCACCTTATCCCTTATGGAATTTTTTTAGAAATATTTAATATAGAAAGAAAATCATTGCATTAAAGAGAGAATTCATTTAGATATTAACTTTGGGAGCATATCTATATAAGGTAAGGGCACTTCTTACCAACATGATTCTCATAGGAAATTATGCACTGTATTTTAGACTCTAGGAGGCCTTGGCCAATTCAAAGGCTCCAGAATTAACAGCTCAGGTTATACAGAGCGCTGTGCTTCCCCAAACATTTCCACAACCATTTGCTTTCCTAAAGAGTCATGTGAGGTAAAACCAAAAAGAGTTCCATTAAACCGGAAAACACACTAAGAAAGTAGAAGGATTGCTTCAGAGTCACACAACTAGGAATGTTTAAACTCAAAGTCCTTTTTCCTTCAGATAAATTCAGGGGTCAGCTAAATCGAAACATCAGCACCAAATATTTGCAGAGCCCTTTGCAGTGTGTAAAGCACTTTTTAACGTATTGTGTATACTTTACCTAATCTCATTTTAACTTTTGTTCCTAAATACCTCATGAATAGCCAGGGTCATATCACTTCTTTGGGGGTTAAGAAGTACATCGTGGATGTCCTTGGATATCAAATAAAGCATTCTCTGCATCTCATGGTCTCCTCAGAAGCCAGAAAGTTCCATTGGCTGTAGGCCCTCAGTGGCCTAGATTTTAAAGTCAAATCTCACTCTCCGGTCATGGCTTCTTGAAAATACCTTTGAATCCTGGGAAGAGAAACCAAGTATTGATAATCTCGCCAAGATGATACAACCCTGCCCTCTGCTCTTTCACTGGGATTGTCAATTCTTCAAACGATTGGCTCTCCCAGGGATTCTGACAAGTGACAATGACTTTAAAAATGTTTCTCTGGGGGCTTCCCTGGTGGTGCAGTGGTTGAGAGTCCGCCTGCCGATGCAGGGGACACGGGTTCGTGCCCGGTCCGGGAGGATCCCACATGCCGCGGAGCGGCTGGTCCCGTGAGCCATGGCCGCTGAGCCTGCGCGTCCGGAGCCTGTGCTCTGCGACGGGAGAGGCCACAACAGTGAAAGGCCCGCATAATGTTTCTCTGCCTCATAAAAGAGTTTTGCACACATTAGTAGGAAGGCCCCCTCGAAAGTCATTGGTTATTTCTCATTTCCAAGTAATAAAGGCTTATTAAAGAAAATGCTAAAAAATGGAGAAAAAGGATAATTCATGAACACATCACTAAAATGAGTCCCTTCAGAGTAAGAATAAGCCCATGTCAAAATGTTGTCAATACGTAAATTAGCAGTCTGATATAAAGCTTCCTGAAAAGCCAGAAGTTAGGAATTTTTAGGCAACCTAATACTTTGATTCTGTAAAGTACAAAAAAAAATCAATCAACTGTCTGGCTCAGTTTACAGTCACATGACACTCCCTTCTGACATTTACTAAGGTAATTTGCTGATGCTGTGGCTGGGACAGGGGCTCATGAAACAAAGCCAATGATACATTAACTCGAGTTGAAAGAACTCTGTGTGAATCCAGCCCCACACTCCACAAACACTGAGCCCACAGGTGCCAGTCCATGTTCTAGGCACCAGGGATATAGCCATGGACAAAACAAATCCCAGCCCTGACAGAGCCTTACCCTCAGCAGTGGGGGGTGAGGGCAAGATAAACAACAAACCGGGACTTCCCTGGCGGTCCTGTGGTTAGGATTCTGTGCCTTCACTGCGAAGGGGCACGGGTTCAATCCCTGGTGGGGGAACTAAGATCCCACAAGCTGCGCGGCCAAAAAAAAATGACAAACCAAATAAATACATCAGAGAGTTAAGGTGTTAGAAGGTGTTGGTGCCAAGGAGAAACAGAAAGCAAGGAAGGAGAGGCCAGAGGGATGGAGTGAGTGTGCAACTTTAACCAGAATCAGGGGAGACTACAGAAAGAGGTGTGTGTGTGTGTTTTTCTCCCCCGGGGAAGAGGGAAGAATTGCAAGGGCCCTGAGGCCAGAGCCTGCCTGAACAGAGAGGGGTCGAGGAGTCAGACAGGTGAGGACAGATTGTGAGATCCTTGTAAGGACTCGGCTTTTACTGTAACTTCAGGATGGGGAATGCTGGGGAAGAATCCTGCCCAAGAAAACTGCAGGGTAGCCATTTATCTATGTGGACTAATTACTAATTGCACATGACCTTTGCTGGCAGAACGTAGAGCAAATTCTGTTGCCTGCCATCTACCCGAAACCAGGTTATCATTAAGTTATTCTACTTGTGGGCTTAGCCCTATAGGTTGCATTCCTGTGGACACAGTCTCGTGCTCACAGGATTCTTCCCAAATTCTCGGAGCATTTTTTAAGCTCACAGAATGCTGACCTCCACTTCCCAGACAGGCTTTGAATGCTTCCTTAAGTCCTACTGACCCCGGTTTGTGCTCTGGGTAATCCTCCAGGCAGAAATGCAGTGAAACATCCAGGGCAGAACCTGCAAACCAGGAATAATAACAACTTGAACAGTGTACATTATTTAGTGCTCACTCCTTGCCAAGTCCTTCACTGAGCTGTTTGCTTAGATTCTTTCCTTTAACCCTCATGTAATCCTCAGGAAGTAGGTACTGTTACTGCTCCCACTTTATAAATGAGGAAACTGGTAGATTAAATAAATTTCCCCCAAACTACCTGCTATTAAGTAATAGACTCTCACAGAAACTCGGACCTTTACCAATTGGGTGAACTGGAAAAACTGTACAATGAAAGGGAAATGTAATGAGGATTTTTTTTCCTCTGATAAATGAAATAAACCGAAAGAGGCAGTTTTTGTTTCATTTCTAGACACTTTGGCCAAGAACATTCCCTAGGCTGTGACCGTTGATGTGATGCCAATGGTGAGATTCTTAAATATACTTTGTGCTGGACTCCAACGCACACCTGGTCACATTAGTCTCCGAGGCCATCACGTTAGTCTCAGAGGCCATCTGTAACCACCTGGGTGACCTCCAAGGACTCCAGGCAGCTCGAAGAACCACCGATTCTCCTCACATCATTTCCCTATGCTTCTCCCATGAAGCCTTCTTTGCCTTCAGAACCTGTTAAAAATACCATAGTCCTCAAAGTCAATCAGAACACTATTCCAGTTAAAACAATTTCTTAAAAGCAACTTAATAGCAACATGCAAAACATCTCCATTCTGTGTATTTTCTTTTTCCAACAAGAACAAATCAGTTCAGAATCTGACTAATTTTGCTGCTGGGGGAAAAAACAGCACAAAGTTTGTGCTCAATCACTCCAAGTGGCAATCGTCTTAATTGTTATGATTTCTACCACTTCGCCTGAGCAGGGAACTGTGGGTTCTATGCAAACTCGCCCACCTGCCCGGTGAGCTCCCGAAATTTCTCACCAGAGTGGGAGCTCACTGCCCTGGGGAAGGGTCACTCTCCATCCATGACAGATTAAGGCGTATGTCATTCCCCCAGGGTTCTCCGTGTGTTTGGGTGGGAGTTCCTCCTTCGTCACTCTGTCTGCATGTCACAGACCATCACAAGCATCAGCAGAGAACCTTCCTGCAGTGCCCAGACCCACCTGGACAGGTTAGCAGTCTGGTCCTTTTACACTGTGGTCCCCAGGGGTTCTCAGCCTATGGAGGAAACCCCACTTCTCCACTCACTGTTTTTACTTTTTTTTTTTAATTGAAGTATAGTTGATTTACAATGTTGTGTTAGTTTCAGATGTACAGCAAAGTGATTCAGTCATACATATACGTATATCCACTCTTTTTTTAGATTCTTTTCCCATATAGGCCATTACAGAGCACTGAGTAGAGTTCCCTGTGCTATACAGTAGGTCCTTATTAGTTATCGATTTTATATAGAGTAGTGTTTATATGTCAATCCCAATCCCAATTTATCCCTCCTCTCATTTTTTACTTCTTGATTCACATCTGTTATGTCGTGAATTACATCCCCCCCCAAAGATATGTTGATGTCCTCAGAGAATAGCCAGGGTCGTATCACTTCTTTGGGGGTTAAGAAGTACATCGTGGGTGTCCTTGGATATCAAAGCATTCTCTGCCTCTCATGTCTCCTCAGAAGCCAGAAAGTGGCCTTCTTTGGAAATGGCAGTTGCAGATGTAAGGAGGTGATACTGGAGTAGGGTGGCCCCTTAGTCCAAGGTGACCGATGTCCTTATAGGAAGAGAGAGACACGGAGAAAAGGTGAGGACGCACAGCCCCGTGACAGCACAGAGACACACGTGGGGGAGAACAGTCACGGCAACAGAGGCCAAGGCTGGAGTTATGCAGGCAGGGAGGGTCAAGGGTGGACGGGAGCAACCAGAGGCCAGGAGGGAGGGTGTGGCCCTGCTGGGACCATGATGTCCAACTTCTGGCCTCCAGAATTGTTGGAGCAGAACTTTCTGCTGTTTAAGCCCCTCCGTTGTGCTGTGTGATGTCTGCCCTAGGAAATTAACACCTGGTTCAGGGCCGTTCTCAGTTTTTACTTCTATCAGCTGATACAATCTGGCTGTCCAGTGGCCCTGGGCTCAGCGGCCTCAGGGGGAGGAGAGAACGTGGAGACCCCATTGTCCCCACCCCCACTCCATTAAAGGGAGAAATGGGATTTGTGGTCTCATGGGTGAACTCAGTGGAAATACTCCTGGGAAGCTTGTCACTCGTGTGATGCAGTAGCACCTCTGTGGCAGGAGGTTAAATACAGAGAAGAAATTCCAAAAGGCCAGTTTCAGTACTCAACCCAGTGAAGCAGGGGCCCCTGGGCCCCTTGGCAGCTTCCCTCCCAGGCCCTTGCCTCTTCTCAGCTCCCACAGCGACCTGTCCATCTGCGTGCCTTCACCTTCGGCTGCAGAGGCTGCAAAGCCACAGTCTGCTCTCCATCCCAGTGGTGACAGAAGGGAGGTGGTGACCACAGGAACAGGGCAAAGGTCGGGGCGCTGTGGGAAGCTCCAGTCCCCAGCCTCCTCCACAGCACACGGGAGGAGGCTGGTGCTTTTCTGTAACCCAAACCGCAAGGAGAGTTTGGAGTCCCACCCCCTAAAGGGATCTGGGGTGCGTGTGTGTGTGTGTGTGTGTGTGTGTGTGTATGTGTATCTGTGTGTGTCTGTGTATATCTGTGTCTGTGTGCTTCTGTGTCTCTGTGTGTGTCTGTGTGTATCTGTGTGTGTGTCTGCGTGTCTGTGTATCTGTGTCTGTGTGTGTATCTGTGTGGGTCTGTGTGTTTGTCTCTGTATCTGTGTGTGTCTCTGTGTGTGTGTCTCTATGTATCTGTGTGTGTCTGTGTGTATCTGTGTGTCTGTGTGTATCTGTGTGTTTCTGTGTCTGTGTGTATTTGTGTGTCTGTGTGTATCTGTGTGTGTCTGTGTGTTTCTGTGTCTCTGTGTATCTGTGTCTGTGTCTGTGTGTGTGTCTGTATGTCTGTGTGTGTCTCTATGTATCTGTGTGTGTCTGTGTGTATCTGTGTGTGTGTATCTGTGTCTATGTAGACACACAGATACACATAGACACAGATACACACACACAGATACACACAGACACACACAGATACATAGAGACACACA